TAATAGATTCCACTATTGATACTACTATTAATAGAGTGTACTATTAATAGAGTATACTATTGATACAGTTTACTATTAATAGATTGCACTATTGATACTACTATTAATAGAGTGTACTGTTAATAGAGTATACCACTGATAGACTCTACACCTAATATGGTGTACTTTGTATACAGTACTAATAATAGTCTGTATTACTGATAGTGTACTATTGATAGTCTGAACAATTATTAGTGTACTGTTAATAGAATATACTATTGATAGAAAGTACTATTAATAGAATATAGTATTAATATACTGTTAAGAGAAAGTATGCTATATTAATACTACACTCTATCAATAGTACTTTCTTTTAATATACTATAAATAGAAAGTACTACTGATAAGGTATAGTGTTAATATAGTGTACTATCGATAGACTGTTCTACTGTCCTACCGATATATTGTACAATTAATGTAGATTACAATTTATGTAGGTTACTAATAATTGTCTGCACAATTAATAAACAGTACTATTAATAAAGTGTATTCTTCATGAAGTGTACTATTAATAGACTGTAAAATTAATAGAGTTTACTATTGATGGTGTGTACTATTATTATAGTGTACTATTGATAGACTGTACTATTGGTAGACTGTACTATTAATTGAGTATGCTATTGATAGTGTCCTATTAATAAAGTGTGCTTTTGATAGATTGTCACAGTAATAGAGTGAAATATTGACATAGTATACAATCAATAGTGAGCACTATTAATATACAGTTAAGTTCTAGATGTTGGGAGTGACCACTTTCATTTCACTGTACTATTCAACGATAACTACATGTTCATGTAATTACATATTTAATTCATTTGTAAGTTATGCAATCAGCTATATTTACATTTGACTGGCATTCTGTATTTACAGGTTAGAGCCACTTCTGGCTTGTTTCAGTGCTTGTTTCAACAGTCAAGGACTGAAAGTTTAGAATCTGCATTGTTTTTTCCTCTGTGTAATTCAATGAGCTACAAATGAGAAATAATTAATATAGAGCGTTTTTATTATTGCAGAGATTGTGCTGATGTATAGAGCTGTGATCTACTGATTGGAAGTGCGAAGTGAAACTGATTATACGGTAGACTCAGTACATCTGTCAGCTGTTCATGCATGGATTGTGTTCTCTTGTTCTGCTATTGATTTCTCACAAACTCAGGGACAAACGATGACAGGAGAGGCATCACGGTGTGTTTTATGTAGATGTTAATAGTCCACTTTTCCATTGTATTAACCTCCTGATCCCCTGGGTCTGTCTTTAGGGTGTAGAGATGTTAAAGAAGCAGCTTAATAGATTGCTCATGCATCCAGAAGAAAGAAAATCAATGACAGTAATTAGCACACACGCTGAGGACAGATTGAAAGTGTTAGTGGAAAAATAAATGAGCGTACACACTTTGTGTGATGTTATGATCCACTGAGATCACAGTTATTAGGAAACCCAATTCAGTTTCATCTCCACTATGCAGGTCATTAACACTGAATTGACATGATAAGACTGGAAACCACCCACCCCCCCCCCACCAAACACACCAGCAAGCTTTGTTAAATGTGGTGGTTAAGTTGCTTTGGCAGTTTTAGGCTGCAGTTTCAGAAGCTTCTGTTATTATAACACCTCCTTGTATCTACACTCATTGTCCATTTTATCAGCTCCACTGACCATATAGGAGCACTTTGTCCATGTCCTGTTCTGTCCTGTTTCTCTGCATCCTTTGTTACCCTGTTCTTCAATGATCAGGACCCCCATGGACCCTCACAGAGCAGGTACTATTTGGGTGGCGGGTCATTCTCAGCACTGCAGTAACACTGACGTGGTGGTGGTGTGTTAGTGTGTGTTGTGCTGGTACGAGTGGATCAGACACAGCAGTGCTGCTGGAGTTTTTAAACACTGTGTCCACTCACTGTCCACTCTATTAGACACTCCTACCTTGTCAGTCCACCTTGTAGATGTAAAGTCAGAGACGATAGCTCATCTGCTGCTGCATGGTTTGTGTTGGTCATCCTCCAGTCCTTCATCAGTGGTCACAGGATGCTGTTGTTGCTGGATATTTTTGGTTGGTGGACTATTCTCAGTCCAGCAGTGACACTGACATTACAGTGACTATTGTGTTATTGTCAAATACAGAACTGTGCCAAAGTCTTTGCACCTACGCAAATTGTGCCGTGGTTCCAGATTTCTCCTTGATACCCCCAGCCATCACATGAATTTGTACAGTGATTTTATCGCAGGAAGATGTGTTATTAGGCACAATGTTAAGTGTTAAACCTCCTTACCCATGATAAAATCACTGTAATGCATGGCCTCATGTGACTTATTGCTTTTATATCACATATCACGGAATAAAATATGATAAAATACACCATGTTCAAAAAATAATTTAGGTTATTATTGATAATAATTGAGATAAATAATTATTCCACAGAGAAATGTAGTTCCTTTAGACCATGGACTGTTGAAAGAGGAGAAGAACGCCCAGTCAGCCATGACTGCATATCACAGTCATTTCATCAACTTTTTGTCATATAATAATGAGCATATCATGATATAACAGTGAAAACCTTCACTTCATAAGCAGTTTTTGCTCACCAAGTTAGCACTGTGACCACAATGCAAATTTCCATTAGCACCTCTATGCCATTTCCAGTGTCATTTAGCACTAAGCTAACGGTGTTGTACATTCATTTTCCCACACTGGGGCTGAATCTCAAATGGCTCCCTGCTCCCTACATAGTGCACTACACAGGGATTGGACTGGCTCCTGCACCAAAACAATGCATGATATATCCAACGAATGGTCATTTGGGATTCAGCCATGTGTGCACAATTCCATACTGGAGAAAAAATGCACTAGAAACCAGAACTAACATAGTGCACTATATAGGAAGGAGGGAGCTGTTTGAGACACAGCCTGAGCTTAGTGCTACTGAATATCTGACTAAAACAGATTACATATGACTAAATCAGGTGTCATACATACTTTTATATACTGCATTTCTATACTGATTTACAGTAAATCATATAGTGCTTTAACTAAAAGCCTGTGATAATAGCCTGTTAGCTACCTGGTCAACCTGGTTCTAGTTAAGAAAATGAGCTTTCAGCTCCTCAGTTTAAACAGAACCCGGTTCTTACTTCATCAGTACACCCAGTGGTCCATGTAACCATCATTAAAGTCCAAGATTATTCCATTAAAGGCATTTTTTCATGTCAGAATCCAGTTGTTTTGTTCGTTTATGGAGTATTTCGCCACGGCTTTGAACACAGCTCAATCAGATTGTAGAACCGGGACTATCCGTTTTATAAAAATGTCGTATTTGTATTCATGTTACTTGTATTTATTCTTATATTAGTGTTTTTCTGAGCAAATAAACACTGACTGCCTAGATAAATAGCTCTAATTTTTTTTGCACAGTGCTGTTCTGTGTTATGCTAACACTGACATGCTAATCATAGCTTTAGCTTCTGGTTGTCTCTGATATATTTAATTTCGAAAGCTCACTCAGGGATTAATAAGCAGTGTTTTATGAGAAATGTCACTGCCCAGGCATATAACAGCTGCCCCAGAGTGACTGGCTCTTGGTTAAATGTCATAGCATCATCTACTTTCACAGACAACATCTGAGACTGCCATAACCCGAGCAAAAGGGCAAGATTACACTTATAGCAACACGTCAGGCCCACTCGACAGGACAGCAGCCTGGACGTTCCAGTAAAAAGCAAATACTGTGGACTTTTCTATTTGCTCTGCATATTGCTGAGGGCCTTTAAAAAGTGGCAGCGTTCCAAGCTGTGCAGGAAAGAGGGGGCCAACTGATTTTACTCAGGCCAAAGCAGGATTACTTCAGAGAAACCTGAGTTGATTTACTTCAGTGGTGAACTGAAGTGACCCAGCTCCCTAAGCAGCTGGAAAGAGTCATGAATGTTGGATGACTTATGAGAAAGTACTTCAGCGTCTCACTGTATGGTAAGGATGTGAAAAGTGGCTCAACTTCCTCGAGGAAGTGTCTGCTGAGTCATTTCAGGGCCTGAAAGTTCACAAAACTGTGTTAAATGCTGCAGTAACTGTAGCTGCATTACAAGAAACATAAAATAACCTGCACCACCCTTTATGAACAGGTTTTTGTGTGTATGATTTGTGAGCTGCACTCAAAAGGACACAAACAAACAAACCAAAGAACAAATAAACAAATAAATAACCAAATTAGCACCCTCAAATACGTGTTATTTCAAAGTTATGCTTCAACTGAAGCCCTGCGATGGACTGGCGACCTGTCCAGGGTGTATCCTGCCTTCTGACCAATGACAGCTGGGATAGGCTCCAGCACCCCACCGCGACCCAGAAGGATAAGCGGTTTGGATGATGTGTGTGTGTGTGCTTCAACTGAAGCTGCATGAAAAATAATAATATAAATAATCCAATTAGCTCCCTCAATTACCTATTATTTCAATGGTAAAATGCTTCGACTGTAGCTGTAAGAAAAAAGCAAATAATAAATAAATAAATAAATAAACCATAGTATCCTAATTTACATATAATTTCATAGTAATGCTTCAACAGTAACCGCATGAAAAAATGAGAATAAATGAATAAAATCTCATGTATATATTTTTTTTAATAATTATTGGGCTCCAGTTATAGCTGCATGAAATAAATCAAATAAACCCATTTAACAACCAAGTATGAATTATTACATGTTTAAAGTAAAATTAAGAATGAATATATTTATACTTTTATTTATCAGTTCATTGAAAACCCCCTGCCCTGCGATGGACTGGCGACCTGTCCAGGGTGTATCCTGCCTTCCGCCCAATGACAGCTGGGATAGGCTCCAGCACCCCACCGCGACCCAGACGGATAAGCGGTTTAGATGATGGATGGATGGATGAAAACCCCACACCACTCTGGATTATTTTGTATATGTCGCCCTCTAGCGGCTGGAAGGACATTGACACAGCGCTAAACGCCACTGTCCGGAACTAAAGCGCTTTACTCTTTATTCCTCGTCGGCCCTGTTATTGTACAGGACCGCTGGAGACAGGTAACACGTTGCTGATTATATTAATTTTTATTAATGTTTTATTATATTTCAAAGCTGCGCAGCGACTCACAGAGAACGTCTTTCACCTGAAGACATAATGAAGCTGAGCACTTCTTGTTAAGACTCTCATGTTACGTTCGCTTCTCCAGCTCCTTGTTCCAATTTCCCCGTTCCACCTTAAATAGCGCTGCAGCTATTAGAACGCCTCAGGCGCCAGAGTATAGCCGCTGCACCATTTAAGGTGGAACGGAAAATTCGAACAAGAAGCTCGAGAATAAGTAAATAACTTAATCTTCGTATAAGAGGAGACTAAACCAGTCGAAATATGAACTTATTTCAGTTAAAAGAAGCCACGACTCGAGCAGAACTAACGCTACACACTTTAAAAAGATGGTTCCTCAATGGTTCTTTGGTAAAGGCAATGTTCTACTTATTTAGAACCATGGGTGCTGTGGAGAACCATTTGCATGCTTAAATCTTTAGATTAATGGAGAATGTATTGTACATGGTTCTATGTAGCTACAAAAAAAGGGTTCTGCTGTTGTTTTGATGTCAAGCTTATAACAACAGAAGAGCCCCTTTTTGGGGCTATATAGAACCACTTTGAAAAAGGTTCTGTCTAGAACCATATACAACACATTCTCCATCAATCCGAAGAACCATTTCACCATGCATAGAACCCTTTAAGCACGCAGATGGTTCTTTATTGAATTCATGGCTTTAATTAGAACCATTGTCTTTACTAAAGAACCCAATTAGGACGTCCAGCATTTATCAGAACTAAAGAACTAAAGTCAGATTTTGTCTTGTTCGATCCTTTTTTGGTGTAAACTGAATCAACGAAGCTCTAACAAGAGAGATGTGACCAACAGCAAAGCAGTATGGACGCTATCGCCGTCTGTAAAACAGTTAAACTAAACCCAAACAGGGGATTAGGATGTAGTAGGTGGCTTTCTTCAGTGACCTACTTGAGATAAAGTAAAAGCCTTAGAATATCATCAGGTATCTAATATTTAGAAAAGCACAAATCCATTAAAAATGTGCTTAAGTAAGCAGAGCTGTGTCAGTTTAGGTAGTTTATACTAGGAATGTGATGATCATGATAATTACCTAATCTCTTATTAAGACATTGCTTCGATATTTATATAGCACGTTTACATACACCTGGTGTTCTGAAAGCCATGTTAATAGCAAAAATGTGTTGGTGATTTCTGTCTGTCCCTGATGAGACTTTGTAGGTCAGCTGTCTTGATTAATTTCAGGAATCTTGTTTAATTTTTATTATGTAAATATTTATTTATTCCCCTCACCTGTGTCTGTTCCTCACACTGAAGGAGAATGTCTGGCTCCTAATATCAAATGTTTCCATTTTCTTAGCTGTTTGTAATCAGTCATCGTCCACCTGACTGCTTATATGGGAACACCATGATCGCCGTTGAGACTGGACTCTATATTGGATCTGTCGCGGATCTTAAGGACCCTGAAGCTCTTACCAATGTGGGCATCACTCATGTTCTCACTGTGGACTCAGAGGAGCCAAACATCTCTGGCTTTCACACAAAATTCGTCCATGCTTTGGACGAGTCGTCCACAGATCTGCTCAGCAGACTGGACGGCTGTGTCCACTTCATAACAGAAGCTCTAGCAGCATCTGTAGGCAAGCCATCATCTGTTCTCGTCCACTGGTAAGTTTATATTAAGGGTTTTAATATAAATGTGGGCAAAGTGTTAAAAATGTCACAATACATAAAGATGTTTTAATGATAAATGGTACTTATAACAATATTTCATTTTTTGAAATTTAAGTAGACAAAGTACATCATCAAGCCAATAGTGCCACATTTAAAAAGGGCTGTGAGAAACGGCATAATGGGCTGACATCGTATTGATTGCTTGTTACTATGCAGTTTATGCAGTTACTGTACAGCAACAGCTCATTTATTATTTATTTTCTGTAATTTTTAAAGGGTAGTTTAGCTGTAAGACATACAGCAAAATACTAAATAGTAATATAGTAAATGGAAATGAAAGAACAACATTAAGAACAAGTTTGCAGAAAGTCATGTAAAATATCTAGAACAAGCAAAATAATTAAAACAAAAAAACAAAAAGGCAGAAATTAGACAAAATTAGGAAAACACACTTCTCATCTATTAGGTTGTTTAACAGTATTTTAAAGGTAAAAGAAGTTTGTATTTTAGCATTAGATGAGAATCGTACATTCAGAACCAGCCAGTCATTGAGTGCGTTTACATGCACTTGAGAAATCAGATCATGGTGAAACTCCAGGTCTACCTGAGACAGACAGTAACCAGATTTCTGCTTTGCAACCAGCCAATAAACTCACAGAAGAAGACGCAACGTAAACATAATGTAAAACTCAAACTTCGTCACTTTACCGGAAAATATGAACATACATCATCTAGAAGATGAAGAATATTTAAATCCTTCATTTTGTCAAGCATGTATTCGGTTTCAGCGTCGCTCCAAAAGTGTTTTGCTGCATCTCACGGCAACACTGCTCGCTTATTTCTGGTACCGCCGTCTGTTTCACACATGTGCAGACTGAGAAATCCGAAAGAAATCAGAGTAAGAGTTTACATACACTGAGAAATCTGATCACTGAGCTAAAATCCAGCTCTCTTTATTGGATTTCATAATCAGATTTCTAGACCTTACTCCACTCTAAGAAATCAGTGTGTTTTTCACATGACCATTTGAATAATCAGATAACTGCAGAAATCTGATTATGATCGGATTAATGAGTGCATGTAAACAGTCTTTATGTCTAATAAATTTTTCCTTTGTTCTGGCTGTAAAGAAAGAAGCTGTCTCAGAAGAGCATTAAATTATAAATGTAAATAAAAAAAGTAAATTGTTTTTTTGCTTATGTACAACGATGACAAGCAAACTTTACAATACAGCTCAAAGTAATGGGTTTTAAGTCAAATCACTAATAATTAAACAAAGTGCACTGTGATAGTGTCTAAAGATTTCAGTGTTGAAGGAGCTACATTCATATAGATCACCATAATCCAATATTGAAAAAATGTTGTTTAACCAATTTTCTTTCTACTTTCAAAAGGACGACAAGCTTGAATTCTTTTTGAAAATCGCATTGTATTACTTTTTTTATTAAATCATCAGTGTGTGCCCTAAAAGATGGCTTGTCATTGATCCAAATTCCCAAATATTTGTAGCTCGAAACACAGTCATTAACTGTGTAATCAAAGTGTTTACTGCTGTATTATTAACACTGTCTATTGCATGAGATCCAGAAAAGTATATATTGTATATATTGTCTTCCCTTCATTCAACACTAGTTTCAGACTATGTACGATATCTGTAACAAGGAATAATCTTTTTGTAAATATTCAATGGCTAGTTTTACAGAGGAAGCGCAAGAATACGTGACTATCATCTTCATAAAATGCATTTTACAGTTTTTAGTGTGTTTTTCAACTTTATTAGTATATACTATGAATAGCACTGGCCCAAAGATAGACCCCTGTGGAACCCCATTACCAATTTCCAGAAATTGATTGCTCTCCCTGAGCAACAACACATTGTGTTCTACTTATAAGATAATTTTGGAACCATTTGAGCACCTGCAGGTCAAAACCAATAAAAAGGAGCCTTTGTATGAGCAAATCATGATCAACTGGATGAATCATCATGATAACAATAACATATCGTCATATTGTCCATCCCCGTTTTAGTACATTGTTTTGTATTTCATCTGGAGTGTTTTTTTGTTTTGTTTTGTTTTTTCAGCCATGTGGGTCAAAGTAGAAGTGCTGCTGTAGTTACTGCTTATCTAATGAAGACGCAGAAACTGAACCTGCAGGATGCGTATACCAAACTCCAGCAGCTCAAACCAGACGTCAAGTAAGTGCAGAACAATGTCCTATTTCTGTTGCAAACAAACATGCTGTTGAATTTGAACAGACGTTTTTTCTTATATTTCCAGAATGAACGAGGAGTTTCTTGACCAGTTGGCCCTGTACGAATCCATGAATTGCGAATTAGACATGAACAGTCCATTATACAAGCAGTTTAGACTGAAGAAAGTCACTGAGAAATATCCAGGTTTGTCTTTCTATGTACTAAAGGTGCTTTTGTGCTGTCTTCAGACAAAATTGTGTTTAATACAAATGCATGTTTGCCATTTTATGGCTTGTGGAAAATTCTGAAAATATTCTACATGTTTTTTTTATACTGGAATTAACAATAGACTTACTTTCATGTGATGTAATTTCAAAGCAGGTGTTAACTTGCTGTTAGCACAGATGTAGCAATGGTTATATTTTGAATCTTCAACAACTTTGTAATTTAGAGGATCCAGTAAAATTTGGGGAATAATGTAAGTAGAACAAATGATATTCGGCTTATATTATATTTTAATTTATCACAGGGTGTGATAGCTATGATTTGAGAAAGTCCCATTCATTTGTTCTTAGAGAAATCCAGCTTAGACCCAGAGTTCCTAACATATCGCTGCTGTCGGAACAAAACCTCGTATCTCCATTTTTGTCGTTTTTCAGTTTTTGACATAATTTGAAAATGCCTGTCGCCCTTTATATTGTGTGTAAATTTCATGGTGAATGGACCAAAAGAAACGGCCCAAAATGACTTGGAAAAAAGTCTGGTTCCATTGACTTACATTAAAAGTAAAGTAGGTTTTTTTCTTCTCCTGTAAAGTTACTATTTTGGAGATAAAACGTTTTGTTCCTACAGCAGCGATATTCATGATGCCGACTACAAAATGATGTATGAGTTCAGAGGTCTGTTAATTCTTTGACAACTAGGCTTTGTCTTTCATTAATCTAGAACTCCAGAATGTCCCCAAGGATGTGTTCGCTGTCGACCCAGCTCAGACCCAAAATACTGAGGTGGTCTATAGATGCAGAAAATGCAGGTAAAGTTTCTGCCTGAATTCATCTCAGTTACTTTTCACTTCACTTGCTGTATTGAAAACTTGCATCTGAAGTGCATTTGTGCTTGTTCTGTTTGGTCACTCGTACAGAAGAACACTCTTCCGCAACTCCAGCATCCTTAGCCACTGTTTAGGCAGAGGGGCGTCTGCCTTCGCTCATAAAAGGGTCAGTGGTGGATGTCCAGCAGGAGATCAGACAGAGTGTACGTCGTACTTCATAGAGCCAGTTCAGTGGATGGAGGAGGCTTTGCTTGGCGTCATGGACGGACAGGTACCACACACAAACTCCACGCACACAACACTGAGCTAATGTTAAACAATAACCTATAAGCAGCAAAACTGCTTATATAATTATTTATATAAATATATCATCATTGCTTATAATTGCTAATTCAGTATAGATGCTGAATCGGTACAAACACAGTTTTATGTACTAGTCAAGCTGCATTTTAATCCAGTATGAATCTGCAGTGTGTGTAGTTTTACAGTCTGACAGTAATAATTGTGGAGCGATTTTAATCCAGTATGAATCTGCAGTGTGTAGTTTTACAGTCTGACAGTAATAATTGTGGAGCGATTTTAATCCAGTATGAATCTGCAGTGTGTGTAGTTTTACAGTCTGACAGTAATAATTGTGGAGTGATTTTAATCCAGTATGAATCTGCAGTGTGTGTAGTTTTACAGTCTGACAGTAATAATTGTGGAGTGATTTTAATCCAGTATGAATCTGCAGTGTGTGTAGTTTTACAGTCTGACAGTAATAATTTATACTTACATGTAATATCAGTGCTATATTGTTAGGAACTCCACCTGTATTAGATATTTTTTGACACATTGCTTTTTTTGCTGTTATTCTTGCAGCTACTCTGTCCTAAATGCAGCTCCAAGCTGGGCTCTTTTAACTGGTACGGTGAGCAGTGCTCGTGTGGCCAGTGGGTGACCCCTGCTTTCCAGATGCATAAGAACAGAGTGGACGAAATAAAACATATCAACATTTCAGCACTCAAATGACATGACTGACTGTTTAATAACACAAATAAAGATATATATTGTTTGAACATTTTGTACTTGTTCTTTTGCTGGAGGGAAAACAGCAGTTGTCACTGGGGAGCTTGGAGTGCCTGGCTTTTTTTTAAGAACTACAATCCTCCTGTCTAGAAGTTTTCACAGTATATTTACTTACGTGATTTGTACACAAGGTGGCGCCATACTGCTGCTGTTCTTCCTTCTAAAGCGGTCCTGGTCAAATATATACGGTTTTGGCACCCTAGTGATTTTGCTATATCTTCTTGAAACAAACAACACAACAGTATGTAAAATAAAATAAAATTATAAAATAAATTTATTTTTTTTTACTTTAATTTCAGACACTGTTGTAAAAACTGTGCGGCTAATGTCTAATAAATTTGACCCTGAGTGTGTAGTAAATTCACTAGGTTATCAAAACCGGCACAGAAAGGCTTGTAAAGAAATCAGGAAAACAGATCCTAAACCAGCATCACTTTCCTTGACCATCGCTTGGCCTGGTGATGTTTAAATGTCCCATATTGCATAATGTCAAATAAAAGTGATGACATACCACATTTGTCATTTTTGCTTCACTGTTTACTTTGTATTATTTATATATACACTGACTGGCCACTTCATTAAAACCTCCCTGTTTCTACACTCATTGTCCATTTTATCAGCTCCACTGACCATATAGGTGCACTTTGTAGTCTGTATACTTTATTAGCCCCCTTTCACCCTGTTCCTCAGTGCTCAGGCCACCACAGAACAGGTACTATTTGGGTGGTGGATCATTCTCAGCACTGCAGTAACACTGACGTGGTGGTGGTGTGTTAGTGTGTGTTGCGTTGGTCTGAGTGGATCAGACACAGCAGTGCTGCTGGAGTTTTTAACCACTTACTGTCCACTCTATTAGACACTCCTACCTTGTCAGTCAACCTTGTAGATGTAAAGTCAGAGACGATAGCTCATCTGCTGCTGCACAGTTTGTGTTGGTCATCCTCTAGTCCTTCATCAGTGGTCACAGAACGCTGCCCATAGGACGCTGTTGGCTGGATGTTTTTGATTCTCAGTCCAGCAGTGACACAGAGGTGTTTAAAAACTCCAGCAGCACTGCTGTGTCTGATCCACTCAGACCAGCACAACACAGAATGATCCACCACCCAAATAGTACCTGCTCTGTGGGGGTCCTGACCACTGAAGACCAGGGTAACAAAGTATGCAGAGAAACAGATGGACTACAGTCTGTAATTGTAGAGCTACAAAGAGCTCCTATGTGGTCAGTGGAGCTGATAAAATAGATGAAGAGTGTAGACACAAGGAAGAGGTTTTGACGAAGTGGCCAGTTGTTGTATATATTAACGATATACACTAAACAGTGAAGCAAAACAAATGACATAGACTTCAGTGGTATTTGTCATGACTTCTGTTTACCATTATGCGATGTGGGGCCACTTTAAGCATCAACAGGTCAAGCCAGCTGAGAGATGTGAGAGCATGTTAAAGTGTATATAATGACAGGGTAGCCTTTGCTCTGCCTGGAGAAATGAGTGGAACTGACTGTTCCTCAGGACACTCTGTGGCTTGATTTAAGGTTTTGTCTAAATAACACATACAGAGTCTAGTAAAATTGCCTTTGCCTCCTATAATTTTAATGCATTTTTCACATTTTCTGAATTACAGCGATGAGCATGTGGAGACTGACCAACAAGGATAGTACACATTCAGTCCGTCTGTCAATTTATAAACAACAAAAACGTCCCTAAGGACTGATATGTGTGTAGGATTCAATATAATTTTAAAAAGCTTATACCTTTAAAAGTCTGTGTACTTCACATAATGAATCAGTTTCACTCTGAGTTCAGACTGGAGTAGATGGTGTTCCAAAATACACAAGCAGGCCCACCCCGGACAACCCAAGAAGAAGAAATTTATGACCCCGTTCAGCGTCCTCCTTAAAATCCTGCTGAGCGTTAATTATCAAAATCATATGTCTCTCAGAATTGTAGGCCAAAACACGACAAATCTGGAAGTATTACTTTTGCGGTTTGTATGTCTGCTCTCGTTCCTTCTTGTCTAATAAGCTCCACTCATGGTCGTATATTACAGTGATTTTTATCATCGGACAGGGATGTTGTTAAGCACTTTTTATAACAGTGATAAAATACACCAACTTTTGATAATGTAATTTCTTTTGATTAATATTAGTATATTCTATAATACAGACTATTTGTAAATTAGTGATTGACCAGCCAGTAAATTAGAAAGAATTATTTGGCTGCAAGGTATGAAAAAGTATTTCCAGGGAGCTTGTAATTCAGACAGGCTGTTTTTATTTAATTCTTGAAGTTGCAGAAGGTTTAGTTTAAACTATATGAATGACCAAACTCACAGCTCAGTGTCAAAACTACTAACCAACGGACCTATACTGGCTCTAAGGTGAGCTATACTTTATCTGGGTTGCTGTACTTGGTAACACTGGTTTTAATATGTCTAATAGATGATTTTTCATAGCAATGCTACAACCAGGTAACTAGCTAAGGTAGCTTTTTTGCCTTAGCGACGGTACAGTGCTCACAGTAGTGATTATGAAACATCCTGTTAAAAGATAAACATTACCTTGATGAACTCCTGCGTCATCATTTGTATTGTTTCACAAACTACAAGGCGTGTGTACAAGACCACAAGCTCTTCTCAGCATAGTAGTGATTAGTTACAGAGTTCGCTTTAGTGTTAGCTGTGGCTTGAACTCATCCGAAGGGGCAGCTTTAGACCACACAAGAATACCAACTGCGAAGATGTGGCTAAGCTTTCTCTCTTGTGATCAATGTAAACATGGTTTAAAGCTTTGAACTGGTTGAAATATGAATGGGAAAGCTTGTAATGTTCAACATGGCGTCTGTTTACGGAGTAAGTCCCACCCTTCAAGAAAAGAGCCAGTCAGTTCGCTGGTTACACCACGAGTTGTGGAGATCTGAACAATCACAGTAGCCATAACAGCCTGAAGTTTTTTTTTTTTAAATATGTTTTTGAAAAGTTAATTTGACCTTCAGTTTCATGTTTTTAGATCTCCTTCACCAAGATAGGAGTCTGGTCTTGAATGGCTGGAAATAACTGCCCGGCGGCGTTGCAAAGATGGCCACCTAGCGAACAGACTTTCCTATAAGAAATTTCAATTATTTGTTGGCTTAAACTTAAGGTTTTCCAAGTAGTGTAGTTTGTTAAGAGTAGGCCATAGTTAGCATCCAACATAAAGATTTATACAGCTGAGTAAATAACTCAAGTTGGGTAGCAGTAAATACAAAAAGAACAGACAAAACATTTGCAATAAAGATAAAATCATGTTGTGTTTAAGGCTTTAATGTCAAACATACCCAAATGCATGTGTTGGAGCTTTTCCTGTTTTCCAGCTTTCAAAAGCAGATAAGGGTGCTTTAAATATTATCTTGTAAAGAATTTACTATAAGGTGACAAGCTAGTGAAGATGCTGTCCTGCTAGAAATACCAGTATAGACCAGCAAAACCAACAAATGATGTGTTTTGAATGCTGGTATGATGGCCAACAGCAAAACCAGTATATGTTGTGTTTTAGATGTTGGTGTGCTGGTCAGCAGCATGACCCTGCTTGGTGACCAGCTAAGCCATCACTAGAACAGCATAAACCATCTTAGACCAGCATGGAATTCATGCTGGTCCCAGATGTTTGTTTTCAGTAGGGATTTTGTTCATATTTTCACACTCCACAATTAATCTCATTGTTATTGTTATGGTTCTGTGTCATGAGCAGGTGGAAAATGATCTAGAACCAGAACTGTAAGTTCCATTGGTTCTCGTTTGGGTCAGTTTTTGAATGTGCATTCCTCTTCAGTGAATACTGCAATGAAATGTGTAGCTAATGCATGTTCATTCTTAAATTGACCACACAAAGTCGTGAAGGTATCGACCTTCAAAGATCAAGTAACGTCTAACTTGGACCAAAACTTTAATAGCATACAGGCTAACTAATAAAGCATCGAGTTTAGCTGTCTGAATATTTTGATATTTCATCACTAAAAGTTTCTGCTTTTCCAAAGTCTTGGTTAAATAACTCACAGGATTAGCAAGTCTTTTGCTGTTTGCTTCGAAAAGCTCGGCCCATCAGACTCTACAACTGGAGCTGTCCATTAGATATATATGTATGTGATTATACTTATAGATTATAGTTGCTTTTATAACACTTTGGCGAAGGTCTATGTCTTGTTTAACCCAGAGGAGCACATGTGGAGCTTTCTCCCTGTTTAGGCCCCAACACCATCAGTAATCTAGACTGTGGGAGCTCCAGGGAAACTGTCTGGTTACTGCTTGGAGTCCTCAGATCCTGTTAGGTTTATGAGGGTCATATCCCCAGTGTAATGACCTGACATCCCCTTCAAAGTAGTGAGTGCTGTTTTCTGCGTGTGTGTGTGTGTGTGTGTGTGTGTGTGTGTGTGTGTGTGTTAGTGATTGGATGATTGATTGAGTGAGTGAATGATTAACTGATTAGCACAGAGAGAACTTGCTGACAGACAGCAGGGAGTGTTTCCTTAGCTCGGGTTTGGCCTGAACAGAACTAGCGAGATCTTCCTACATGCTCTTAAACTGTTTACCAAATTGGTCAAATTCACAGATACCAGTGTGGTCAGTATATTATAGTTCCAACATTCCTATTGCATTTCCAATAACCTGATAGATTTTAGGCTTTAATTCAATTATTAGTCCTAAAACATGGGCACTGAAAACAACTTTTACCATAAAATGATAGAATATTATGACAATTATTTAATGATAAAATTCCTTAAACAAGTAAAAATGTAATGTTTTTGGTTAATCTTACAATCTCAGAATGAAAAATATTGCATATATTGCCTGGATTTAATATGATCTTACTTGGCAAAATGAAGTTTTTGCTGTGAAATTTCTAATACATTTTCAAGGCCTCCAGTCCAGAGTGATATGCAGCATCTTTAACCCCTTAAACTGTTTTCTTATTAAAGAATTAGGGAACCTAAATCTGTGTTTCCTTTCTAATGAT